GCTAGAAGGTTTTTCTTCCGAGTGGTTGAAGCTTTGCCCCCGTTTTCCTGTGTTATGGTCTGTTCAGCAGCCACCAGTTTCCTCTCTGTGTCGGTGTTATGCTGCCAATGGTGAATTATTCTTCCCCTTCCCCCTGGGTGTACCTTGGAGAGGATGGCTGAGGTGTCTGTCTGGGGTATGCTTAGGAAAACAATAGCTGCTTCTTCCAAGTCCTAATGCAGCTGCTGAATCCCTGGCAGCGTGGACTCCTCATGCTCTGTTTAAGTGTTACCTTTCTTGGTTTTATTTTTAGTAAAATGAAGCTGAAGGAAATTGATCGTACTGCCATTCAGGCATGGAGCCCTGCCCAGCAGCACCCCATTTACCTGGCCACAGGTGAGTTTCTGGAAAGCATATGCTAGCAGGCCTCAGGCTATGTGAGGTGGCTGCCATGAAGTGGTTGTAATTGAAAGCTGTAGGAGTTATTTAATGTCCTGAAGGCTGGAAAGAGGTATATGGCATGGTGCCTTCCGTGGAGTTCTCTAGTGGTGCCGTGCATGAAAACATGCTTTGCATTCTGCAAGTGACAGCAAGCATCCTCTTCTTTCTGCCAGGGTAAGGTGACAGCAATCCTAACCTCTAGTTCACTGTCCCTTGCTGCTTGTTTGTAACTTAGATTATTTTCTGTGCATCGTTAGGGGGAGAGAGGCACTTGTCCAAAGCTTTTCCTGTTCATCATATTGGTTAAGAAACCCCCAAAGGGGGAACCATGGGGAGGAAAGTTCTGTAGAACTACAGCTAAATAACAGAAACATGACCCCATCTCAGGGTCCTTTTTTCAAGGATGATGTTTTTATGCCCCTCCTTGTGCTGCTTTTGCAGTTGTTCTTTTGTGTATCATGGCTTTCTAACTGCCAAGCACGCTGCTTTGCAGGTACATCGGCTCAGCAGCTGGATGCAACCTTCAGTACAAGTGCTTCTCTAGAAATATTTGAGTTGGACTTATCGGACCCTTCGCTGGATATGAAGTCCTGCGCCACATTCTCCTCCTCTCACAGGTAAACAGTGGGGTTGTAAGGGAAAGGTAATGGCTGTGGAACTGTTATACATGGTATTTGTGGAAAGGCCACTTCATGAGGTTTATGTGCGGTTGGTAAGAAGAGGAGCAAAAGTTCAGCACTGAAGGAGGAAGGCGCATGAGTGCCATTGATATTGTGGGACAATGAGGTGTCATTGTGAAGGCACTGAGCTTAGACTCCAAGGATTTGCAAGCAGCTCATGCTCTGACATAAACCTGAAAAATCTGACATTGACTGGTAGGTTTGAATATGTATGCAGAGTTTATTTTGGGGAGCCTCTGGGATTTTCCAGAGAACAGAAGGAAATGTGAAATTATCAAAATGCAGTGGCAACTTTTCACATTGGCCCATCCTGTTTGCATTTAGGTATTTCAGGGAGACTCCTATAACATAAGTAAACGGAGTCATGTTGTGTGTGTAGTATTGTACCTCACCCTGCAGCTGGGAAACCAAGTTCCCAACTGTACAACTCCACTTAGCTCTTAGTTCCTTAACCATGCGCTTGTCCAAAGAAAGACTGGTAGCATCAGAGCGTCCAATTTCCATCTCAGCAGTGCTTGTAGTGGCTCTCTGGTGGCTGGTCCAGTGGCTGCCGCTCATTGTGGGTGAGCTGAAACAACATAGGTGGAAGTGCAGGATGTTTCTGTGGGTAGAGAAGGAGGTGAAAATTTTCATTGCCATTGGATTGGATCCATGACTTTTATACCAGCTACAGTGTCAGCATAACCACTTTTTCCCCTGGTGACCTGAAACGACATGATGGGAGGTACAGGCTATTTTGCCTGTATGGTCAAATGAGAATTTGACACTTCTAGAGAAGCAATTGCCATCTCCCCAACCTCTGACATGAGTAAAAATTAATTGGACTTGAGTCTTCGTTATCTGTTCTAAAGCTGTAGCTTCAAGACTAAGGACCTACAACTGTTTCCTAAAGTTCTTGACCAAACGCAGTTTGCTGGGTTCCTAGAGGTTAAGTGTTGCCTATAAACAACTGGACAGAAGGGTTGAAATTGTGTGCATTTGCACACAATAAGATTATGACCCTGCTTAGGGATGGTCTCCGTAAGTAATGGCTGTGGTAGCTTTTGCAGGAGGAAGCACAAGGTGTTAGGCTGCTGGTTTTGTGCTGTGTCAGTTTTGTTGTAATGATTCATAGGGCTAGCAGAGCAGTTGTGCTGGCAGGCAGCTTGCAATCCATGCCCTGCAGTTGTCTGCGTTTTAGTACGTGGGGCTTGTGAGAAAGAGCCCCAGTCTCTGTTTAATGCCCTGCACTGTGGGCAAAGCTGATGTTAACATGTCCTACTGACCTGAGAGCAGGATGAGGTGTTCAATGTTCTAAAATTTCCTTGTTCTACCTTGTTTTAACTATGACAGAGATTTTTCAAGGCTGTCCAAGTGACATTTGCTTGCTGAATTTCAAAAAACACTCCTGATAGCCAAGATGCAGTGTCCATTTGAAAGTACTTCCCTTGGTAAGCAACACAAGAATTTGACTTTGCCCCAGAAAATGCATTACAAAAGAGGTTGATTTTTTTTTTTTTAAATATAAGTAGAAGTGCCCCAGCTAGCAATGTATATGTCAGGCTTTGTTTTGGTTTGCAGCAAATGAGAATGTCCAAGTAATCAAACCCACAAAAGACAAATCCTGCAACAAGCTTTGTTAATTGCCCTACACGTAAAGTTTTGCACTGCTTTTAAAAAGCCATACTTTATCTTGCAAAGAGCAAAGGGCAAGAGGAAAGTAATTGCACAGTTAACTTTGGTTTTTGTTCTAAGCCATTTTCTGCCTTCATTTTGGATTATCTTAAGTACTGTTGAACCTTGCTGGTGGTGTAATATTAGTGCCTGGACAACCCTGTCAGTCACTACGTTTCTTGTAACCTTGCATAGTTAGGTGCAGAAGTATAAAAATCATACCCAGGGAAAGGGTCTGTCTGATATCACAGACCAATTTCCATTTGTGGCATTGTTCTTTGGTGAACACCCCCCCTGTAATCTGAACACTGCACTAGGAGACTGACCACTTGGCTGTTACAGTATTTCCTATCCAGCATATGCTCTTTGTCTAGCTAGTATGTATTCTTTCATGCCGAAGTTGCTGTGATTTAAAGAAATTACTTGAAGGTTGTCCAGAGATAATGAAGAGATTAATAATAACATGGTGAATGCTAAAGTAACTCCTTGCCATCTTCCAGTCAATGTGTGTTTGCTTTCTGCTTACATAAGAGCTGATATGTGATAGTGTGTCATTTTATATAGAAGAAATTAATTCTTTGCATGGCTGAATACACAGGAATGCTGTTTTGCTTGTGCAGCAAGTTCACTGAGTTGAAGGAAATTTGGGTATTTGCAGATGGACATGGTGGTGTGAAAATACTTCCTTTCTGGAGGTATGTTTAATTCCTCTTGATTTAGCCTGGAAAAATAGATTGTGGTCCAAGAGACACATGTCTGTGATGTGAATAAACTACTTGCTGAGCCTCAAGTACAGCAGATGAAATGCTTGCACATTCAGAAGCACAGATATGGAAAAGGATTTGGAATTTTCCCAGTTCTTTCTCTCTTGTATGAAGAGGTTTACTTCCAGGCTGTGTTTGGATGCGCTTATAGTCCTCACTTTGATTGCTTCTATTGTTCTGCAAAGTTGAGCTCAAAATCACGTGCAATTGGGAGCATTTACCTGATTTTGCAGCCAGGAGATGAGATGTTACCAGGTTATTGGCTGTGCATGTCTTGACCGTGTCAGCCAGGAGATGAGATGTTACCAGGTTATTGGCTGTGCATGTCTTGACCGTGTGTATTGAGAACAGCCAGAACTGGGACACATTGTCTTTCTGACAGAAGGGGTTGTAAGTACAGAGACTCCTCCTTAAGGAGAAAAAGCAGGTGGTGCTTTTCTCTAATGTGTATGCTCTGTCTGTTAGCAGCAGTCTGGAGGCTTTAGCTGGGGCAAGCAAAATGAGGTGCATCAGTGTATGTGGAGCTCGTGGTGGATGATTGTAAACTGTGGAGACCTCCATGTCTTACAGGTACCACAAGCTGATCTGGGGGCCACACAGCATGACCTCAGGTGAGACAGTCTCCGGAGTCCTGATTGCAGGGGGTGAAAACGGAAATGTCGTTCTGTATGACCCAGCCAAAATCATAGCTGGAGACACTGAAGTAGTAATTGCCCAGAAGGACAAGCACACAGGACCAGTAAGAGCGCTCGATGTCAACATGTTCCAGGTTGGTTTTCTGATGTTCTTCATCATGTACCACCATAGATGAGTGGCCTGTCTTCACTTGTAACCTTAAATGTTTCTGTCCCTTCCCCGCCCCGCTTTCTCTCCCTCACCCCTCCGAAAAGTATGAATTAAATTTGGTGTTTGACTGTTTGTATTTAGTAGGAAATGCAATGGTGTTACTGGCATTTCAGGATTGGAAATAAAAGAATTTAAGGTGTCTGTTTCATTCCTTCCCCTCATCAGTTTATGTTGTCAATTTAGTGCGTCTTTTTAGCTCACTTTGCATGTAAAGTAGAGGTGGTCTTCTGTGGTGTTTTTAGCCAGTCTTCTTTTTTAGCTCCCCCATACTATGCCAATGTTGTTCTCGTCACACAGGGAATGTTTATGTGCTCTCACTCGTGTTTCTGGTAACATCAGATTTTAGGTATCTCTTTTGGGGGTTGGGTAGGATCCATCTTCAAGACCTCCAAGTATTCTTACTTGGAAAGAGGAGACAGAATAAGAAACATGGTGACGTGGCCTTTTTTGCAGAAGAGCTCTCAAAACCAACAAGCTTCCCTCCATCACTAATAAGCGTTTACTTCCTCCTAGATACAGTGGGTTGGTTTTCCCTTGTCCCCACCAGCTGTGCGAGAATTCAGTTGAATTTGTTTCCTAAATAGCACTTCTGTCCCTGCACACTTGCTTTCAGCAAGGCTGCCCTGTGTTTATTGTGTCCTCTCTGAATCGCTTCCTTTCCCTTCCTGTCCATTATGAAGTTGGGACTTGCTTGCCACCAGCCATGGGATGTGATCAAAGGGTACTTGGTGCCCTATGCTCGTGTTGCCCTGCCTGGACTTTTGCATCCCAGGTGCAGGATTGCTCTGGATGATTGCACTCACTGTGGGAAGGTTGCTGTCTGCTGCTGGAGGCACAAATGCCATACTGCTTCCAGCCAGCCCCATGTGTCTGCCTGAAGCAAAGCTCTGGCAGTGATAGCTGCAGCACTGCTTCTGTATCTGCCCCCTCCCAGAAGTGTCACTGCTTTCCACTCGCCTGTCTGTGGCTGTGCCCCTGCAGCTTCCTCATGGGTATTTGCCATGCAGTGGAGGAGCACTCCACAAAACGGGAATTTTGGTCTTAGCATGCCAGTCTAGTGTAGTGTATGGGGTTTTTTTAATGAACTCAGTCCTACCTGTGATCTCAAAAACCTTGTTTTTCCTTAAGCTGCTCTGTGTGAGCCAAAGGCTATATCCAAAGCTGATAGGAGAAATTGGCATGGTCCTGTGGATCTGATGCCTCCCAGCAGCTAAGACGGAAAGCTGATGCTGAAAATACTCTTAACATCTAATGTGTCTTACAGACTAATCTGGTGGCCTCTGGTGCTAACGAGTCTGAAATCTATATCTGGGACTTGAACAATTTTGCCACGCCAATGACACCAGGAGTGAAGACACAGGTACCAGATCTATATTTGTTAAACACTGCAGAGCAGACTAACAAAGAATATGCATGTCACTGAAGTTGAGAGCTTGTTGAAACTTGCAGTTTTAAAGCTATCTTTAAAAGAGGGGGGGGGAAAAAAAAGCCTTTTGAAGTCTAACTTGGGTAGCAGTTAATTGTAGTTAGCCATGAGCTACATGTCTGGCAATGTTAGATACAGTCCTTAAGGGGTGGTGCAACAGATCTCTCCCTATCAAAATAAAGAGAAATCTGTTCCTGCATATTGTTCTCCAGTGGCTTTCCCAAAAGCCAACAATAATAGGCCTTCTATTGGCACTTAATTTTTGTAATGTATTTATTAGACTGTGGGGTTTGAGATATTTTTTTCTTTGTGACATGCCTGTTACTCAGAGCATTCAGCAGAAGCCTGTGTCCTTAAGGACAGTACTCTGAGCAGCAGTGTGGGTAGCTTTCAGTGAACACTTTTGGAAGGAAGTCAATTGTGACAGCACTGTTTTACCACACTTTATGCCTAGCTGTGATTTTTTTTGCCCAGCTCTATACAGGGATAACTGGACACTGCTGCTTTTCTAGCCCCCAGGGTGTGGTTTTCTGGCTGTGCCTGTAAGTGCAAATATGCAGAGGTCCATGCAATGAGTGGTTTGCTCTGCTTCTCATGCAGCAACCCTGGATATGCACTCATGTTTATCCAGAACAGACCTGCAGTTTTGGCTGGCTGCACAAGCAGTTGATTCATGTCTTCATGTGGTGGGACTTTATTTTTTTTTAAGTTGTATTTGGCTAGGGAAAGTTGAAGTATCCCCTTAGTCTTTGGGAAATACTGCATTTTTATCAAGCAACAAGTAATAACAAGCTAAGTTGCTCAAGTTACACCACTTTTTAAATATCCATAGCCATTACATGTCTTCTAGTCTTCCTCTGTATGTTTCACTGCACACGTGACTCTGAAGATTGTGAGGGTACAGATTGAGGAAAATAGGAGGAAGATAAAAAGTAGCTACTGGGAAGTCAGATGATGAGACAGTAGGTTTGGCAGTTACCTTCATGGGTTTCAGGGAGTGTTTAATTGCTAATACTTCAGTGTTTAGCCTGTGTCTCTTAAAGAAGATCTATGGGGGAAAAACAATCTCTGCAGATATTGCAGAGAAATACTAGCGTGAAATACTAAATAGGTGGGTTTGGGTGTTCTACACTACAGCGTGTGTGTGTAGAAAACCAGAATTACACAGTACCTGGAATGAGTCTCCTTGTGGATTTGTCATTTAGCAAGCCCTGAAAATAACAGGCTTTGAGTTTTTGACTTGGAAAGGTTGTAACAGGCTGTTCTGTGTGCGTGACAGCCTCTTGAGGACATCAGCTGCATCGCATGGAACAGGCAAGTCCAGCACATCCTGGCATCTGCCAGCCCTAGTGGCCGAGCTACTGTGTGGGATCTCAGGAAGAATGAACCCATCATCAAAGTCAGTGACCACAATAACCGGGTGAGTTAGCTCTCAGGTGGCTGCACAGGTGCTTGTGGAGAGGTGTGGAGTGCCTCTGGGCATGTGGGGGCAGGTCATAGCACTCCTTCTTCCATGACATAAAGATACTAGTGCTTGGCCCAGTTTTATATGACATGCTGAATATCTGATGCCTTCTCTTAACGGGCTATGTATATGCAGAGGGATTGTCAGCATTTTAAAAGAAAATAGGCAGATGCAATTTTGAAGCAAGGCATGGCACTCAATTTTCCTGTTGGAGTGATAAGTTTCTTTGGAGAAAGCCATTACTGATCTGTTTGGGGCTACCACAGAAAGCTAGTCAGAAATTACGTTTTGTGTGCTGGAGAGATGAGGTTGCAGCTTATGTGTTCTGGGTGAGCATATTTAGTTTCACAGAGCAGGTGACGTCATGACTTGGTGCTCAGGCAGAGGGGGCTTCCTCCTTGGCCTCACAGGTGGGATGAGTACAAGGGCTGAGCCCTGGCAGGACACTGACTGGTGGAGCTGGGGCCTGTGCTTCTGCTGGTCTGGATGTGGAAATGGGAGCAGGCTGCAGCAAGGTTGGAGAGAGCAGGGTCTGTGGTGGAGAGCGACACAGAGGAGTGTTGCCATTGAGCAGGTTACAGGGGACACTACCTTGTATAGTTACAACCACTGTGTCTTTTCCTTAGGCAGTGTAAATATAAAAAAGAGCCTGTTGACCTTGTGGAGAGTGACATATTTGTATAATTCTGTATATTTTAATGGAATATTGCTATAACAAACTTTGAAGATGTAGCAAGAGTTCAAAACAAAATTTACAAATGGGTGCTCCTGAAGTAGCTGTTTGTTCACTGCACTCTTATTTTGATAAACTGTAACTTTGTTTTATGTGTTTGTTGCCTAACATAACATCAACACAGTAGGCTGTTTTCATCACGTGACTGTAGCCTAGTGATACAGTGTTCACATGACAATAATATCTGCCTAACAATGGCTTTTATTAAAATATCGATAAAAACATTAGAGAAAAAGGTTTGTACAGAGGGCTTTACAGTTTTCTTACATTAAAATGTAGGATTGTGGACAAGACAGAACAAAGTCATCTCTGAAAGGACCTTGGGAAACTAACTGCAAGTCTCCTCACTCATGGAAATGAGGAGAGTATTCTAATCTGAATGCAGTCAGAAATAATTCTTAGAAACACAGCTGCAAATTCCCTTGCAACAGTGTTTACCATGCATATAGACATATTTAGGCTAGTTGTCTTTTGTCCTTTAGTGCTGCTTAGTTATTTTATGTTTTGGCACAATGTTGTCCCTCAGATGCACTGCTCAGGCCTGGCATGGCACCCTGATGTTGCTACCCAGATGGTTTTGGCCTCGGAAGATGACAGGTTGCCTGTGATTCAGATGTGGGACCTAAGATTTGCCTCCTCACCACTTCGTGTTCTAGAAAGCCATACAAGGTATGAGTCTTCTGTAGCCTGCTGCTCCATGGTGTTTGCACTGTTGGTGACTGTACCACTTTGTACATCTCAGTTCCCTATGAAGACTCACTTATTTGGAGGTGGCAATTCCAGCAGCACACAGTTACATGCTGGCTTGCTGACTAGCCAACCCTCTGTCCTGAAAGGCTTGCTTTTTCTGGGGCCTGCTCGTTTGAAGAGAACAGGCCCCAAAATAAAACACCATCCCACTTGAAACACTGAAGTTCTAGTCTGTTTCTGTTCTTTTTGAGAAGAAGGAGCTGAGTTGTAAAGAATTAGCAGTAGTTGATTTTGCCTAAATACTGGAATGAAGGTGCACCTGAGCACATCCTCACCCATGGATATGCACAGTCTCTCTGCCCCTCAGTCCCCAAAATGCCTTAAATTTGGCTACAAGGGGAGATTTTGTTAAATTCTCATCCCTCCTCAATTGTTAGTGAGAATTTCCTTATTGCCCACAACCTGTGCTTGATTTAAGGAGAGAGAATAGCAATAAGTCTGTGTTTGGCTTCTACCAAAACTGCTGCTGGTGGTTCTGCTGACTTGAATCTCCTGCTAATAAAAATATGTCAGACTTTGTAGTCACTGACCTTACCTACAGGTTTGCACGCTGTATGTTAATGATACTGCAGGCAAACAAACCATTTTGTTACACTAGTGTCCAGGTTCTCCTGCATGACTGTTGCATTGAATTTTCAGGTACAATGTCTGCACCTTTATACCTCTTCATGCAGAAAACAGAAAGAATCTATTTCAATAGAGTGCTGATAATACTGAAAATTTTCCTCTTATAAGAGGAAGGCGTGTGGAGGGCATTTTGAGGTGGAAAGCTCAGCGAATGTAGAAACTCGACTTAAAAATATGCTTTATTTATCACCGTTTTATGTTTACATTAAACTTTTTTGGTTGTGACTTTTCATGCAGGGGTATATTGGCCATTGCTTGGAGTATGGCGGATTCGGAGCTGCTACTTAGCTGTGGGAAGGATGCTAAAATTCTCTGCTCTAACCCCAGCACGGGCGAGGTATTGTATGCACACCACTTAAGTATCTGTTCAGATGTGGCACAGTGGCATAGGCAAAACGGGTGTTGGTGTGCTTGCATTCCTAGGAATGGTGATTCTGTAGGATTTTTCTTCCTATCCTGTGTACTTGTGTTTGGTATATGTGCCTTCTGAGCTTGTTCTGGTGGTGCAGGATTCCTTCCTAGTATTGCCAATATTACATATTTGTCCTTTGTCCTGCTTTGCTCCTGCGTAGCACTAAGGTTCCTGCTCATTATAAGGGATAGAAATGGCCCCACTTAAACTAAGTATTTGCTTCCTGCTCTTTTGGTTTGGGCCCATGTGGCTGGATTACTGTTGCAATTGCCTTTTTCCTTCTGTAAGTGTAAGAACTTTTATCCAGACCAGAGGGATTTTATAGGTTACTACAATAGCAGCAGATCAGCAAGAGCCACTTAAACGTCTTCCTACCCCACCCTTTTGGGCCTGTGGATACCTTTCAAAGAGGGTGCACATTCTTTTTTCAGGCAACTTGAGTGTTTGCCCCTAGACCTTGAGAAGGGCTTCAGGCATGTGGAGGGTTCCTTGCCTGCAGTGGACAATAATCCTGGAGGACAGAGAAGTGTTTCTAAAATTCAGACACTGGCCCAAAAGTGCAAAAGCTGTGGGAAGGCTTTGCATGTGGATGAATCATTCTACATGTTTTTATTAAAAATAAAAAACAGTTTCCTGGGAGGCAGCAAGGTAATTAGCGTTTTGCTCTTCGAGTTTCTCTTAGTTTATGGTTAAATGTCTGTTGCACTGGTGGGCTTGTTTGTTGCAGGGCAGGAGAGGCTGTCTACCCAGAGTGCAGGTTTTAACTTTCCCAATTTTCCTGCAAAACCAGACTTACTTTGGAGCCTGGACATGTATCCATGTAGTGTGTAAAGATACCCAGATCAGCTCTGAATGAGCTAGCATGAATATCAGCAGGAGCTCACAGCTTGCAGTGGGACAGCACAGACATACCCCACCTGCATAGTTTGTCCTGTGTGGATTAAACAGAAGATTTGATAGGAGAAGAAGGAAATTAAGCAGTGCTGTTTGGTGATTGTCAGGGTTTGCCCACTGTTAGTGTGTACAGTGACACAGAGGCTGCTGGGGAGCAAGAAGAGCAGACTAGTGTCAGGGCAGGCAGGAGAACTGTTGCTGTTGGACATGGTGCTTCATAGAAGCCCTGATTTTTTTGGACGTGTTTTTGCTGCCCAGGTGCTGTATGAGTTGCCTACGAACACACAGTGGTGCTTTGATATCCAGTGGTGTCCCAGGAACCACGCTGTTTTGTCTGCAGCTTCCTTTGACGGGCGGATCAGCATTTACTCCATCATGGGAGGCAGCATTGATGGCTTGAGGCAGAAGCAAGTTGACCAGGTATTGAGAAATGTTCAGCTAAGAATATGGACAGAAAGAGGTGGGGGGAAAACATGGACTCATGGGAGGTCTTCAGTGGCTGTCTGCAACCCTGCTTGCAGGACTACCAATCCAGTGCAAATAAACTAAATGTAAGTATTTATTGGAGATATGTTACTGTTGGTTTTTGCTCCTTTTGTTATCAAAGCTTTCATCATCTTTTGGAAACCTCGATCCATTTGGTACAGGACAGCCCCTCCCACCCCTGCAGCTTCCCCAGCAGACTGCCCCACAGAGTGTCATTTTACCCCTAAAGAAACCACCCAAATGGATCCGGCGACCTGTGGGAGCATCGTTTTCGGTAAGCAGGCAACAAGGCTGGGCATGGTTGGCCAGGCAGGGAGGGAGATAGTGGTGGCACCTGCAAAACACTTTAGGAAGAGGGAAGTTCAACATTGTGTTCCACCTTGGCAGAACTTCCTCTGTTTGTCATCATGGTGGGAGATGATTGCAGCAGTTTCCAAACTGGGCACTTGGGACAGCAAACAAGCAAAAGCATGACAAAAATGCTTGGAAAAAAGAAACAAGGAGGTGTTGTGTTGCCAAAAGGCACTCGTGTCTTTCTGTTTTGGGTTTAGGGCCTTGCTTTTATTTATGTTCAGTGTTTGCTTTGGAGTAAACAAATATATACATCGGGAGGGGGAACAGGACCAAACTGGGCAAGTATCTTGTGACTTGAGTGCAGTTCGAAGCTATTTTTTGAGTCAGTGTAGTGGAGGATATTATAAGCCCCTTCTAATTGTTTTTAATTGATTTTTAGTTCTCTCCAGATGATGACACAACTTACTGCCAATCTCTCCATAGGCTTTTAATTGGTAAACAGCCTGCCAAGAGTAAGGTAGACATGCTTGAGCATTTATTTAATGATGCATAGGTTTCTTTGGTAATTTCACTGCAATATCATGAGGTAGTCCACTTACGCTGGGCACTGTACAGACCCACAGCTCCAGTTCTCAGTTTCTAGTCAGTCTTTTCCCTTAGAAAAAACAGGCACAGAAGTAGCTGTGCTCATAAATCTTACTAAATGTGTACCCACTTATCCAGCAAGCTCCTTACATGCATAGAAATATGGGGTGGTGGAAAAAAATGATGTCAGAAATGTTCGTCCATTGGACAATAAGTATATATAGGCTATATAAAATCATGTGTGTACATATGTGCATACTTTTCATATACACTCCAGAGTATACTTGCATTTTTACATACTGCATTTTGTGCCTCAATTCCAGTTTGGAGGCAAGCTGGTTACATTTGAGAATGCCAAGTCTCAGCAGCAGCCAGGCATTGAGCAGCAGCAGCAGTGTCACCATGTCTATGTGAGCCAGGTTGTTACAGAGAAGGATTTCCTGGCCCGCTCGAACCAGCTGCAGGAGGCTGTGCAGTCCGAAGGCTTTGTCAACTACTGCCAGAAGAAAATTGACATGGCCCAGGCTGACTTTGAGAAAAACGTGTGGGCCTTCTTAAAGGTAACTGGATAACAGCAGGTCAGGAGTTCCTCACTGACTTGGAAAGCCAGTGCAGAAATGGTTCCTTCTGTGCATAGTGGTGTTTTAGTAGGAGATGCTGGGAACCAAAAGTGTAAGCTGTGGGAATAGTGCACATAAGCCCTGCTGTTGGAGGTGGCCCACCAGAAGAGAGAGGGTCCTCAGGGCCGGGGTGTGCATGGGGTTCATGAGAAATCATGTCAGAAGGGGAAGGTATCCTGCGTTTTTTTGACATCCCCCATCAGTACATCTTTGTGTGGGGAGCTGGTGAGAAGGGATAAAGCTTTGGGACAGCTTTAGATGTGCTTTTCACTGTTCACTATGAATATTTAGAGGTTTCCAAATGAAGCCAATAAGCAGATTGTTCACCTACAATAACCAGATTGAAGCCTTGCCTACCGGCTTGCATGCTCAAGTCACTGAAGACCTTTTCAGTTCTCTTTATTACTCTGTTTCCACAGTCACTAGCTCTCACTGGGTAACTTGTGCCAGTCAAGTAAAAAGCCAGTGATGGAGAAAATGACTTTACTTTTTGTTTTTTAAAGGTGAACTTTGAAGAAGATTCACGTGTTAAATACCTTGAGCTCTTGGGATATAGGAAAGATGATCTGAGGAAGAAGGTAAACGTGCCTGGAAGCTGTGCTTGTGTTAAATGCTTTACTAATGGATGTATCTGCAGGTTACCACCTAAAATGTTGATGATGCCATGTATGGTTGAAGTACTTATTTACCTGTGGGGTCTGGAAGAGCTATTACCAGTATCCACAGGCTATTCAATTCAATAAACGTTTTTATACAGTATTATTTTCAGTCTGTTTCCAGCAGATAGTATTTGTCAGTGCTGCAGCTCTGCTAATAGCCATAATATAGTTGTTACCTATGGTGCTGGACCCTCTGTTTAAACATGGCTGACTTGAATAGTTGTGTTGTTTAAGGACTTCCTTTGTTCCAAAGGATACTAGAAACTTTCCTCTACTCTTTAAATTTTGTCTAGATAAACAACTTGTGAATAACTTCAGAATTCTTATAGCTTGTTTTGGGGTTTTTTATTAGCTATATCATCTTCTTGCAATATGGATGTTCAATGAAATTTCAAAGCAGGCAAGCACACTTCAGAGGCGTGTCTGCATCTGACTGTCCAATGTTGATCTGAAATTCTCACCCATCAGGAGGCTATGATATTTGTTAGTTCAAACTATTCATGTAACTTTCTGACATCCTTCTACTGTAGCATCACGGAATCTGATCAGGTTTTGGGCTTTCTGGTTGAAGAATATGTGAGCAGCCTTCAGGTTTTCATTAACTGCCTTGGAAAACCTTTATTGTGTGTGGGGGGAACACACCATTAATTTTTACAAAGAAAAGGAAAACAAAGATCAAACCTGGTTATTTTTGGAAAGGCAGAATTTGGATTACTAGGAAGCAACTTGCACATTGTAAGTGTAGAGCTTTCCTCCAAGTTGGAAGAAGATTCTTATCTCAGTGTTACAGGAGAATACCTGCTGTGCATTTTGGCTCTTTGTTTCTTTCAGTGCTGTACCCAGCAACTGTCTAGTATTTCTTCAGTTCTGATTCAGTGGATTTGAATATTTGATTCCTTTTCATTGTATCAAACTAATGTTTTATTTTCAGAGTGGCTCCATAAAAATTTCATCATGGTTAAGAAGTAGATGGGCCTCTCAGGCAAACTTCTTATGATTACAGAAAAAAAATCATTGTTTTGCCAAGTCTGTCCTCAGCTTCTAAATTTTTGTTGTATGAGTTAAGGCAAGTATAGCAAGGGAAATCCTGTTTTTGAAAAGCAGATCTCAATTAGAAAATCCAGCTGAAATTTAGTAGTGGTTCTGTGAAGTGGCCTCATGCAGACTGGAGCCCACTGCTGCTATTGCTCTGGGAAGATGGGCATAGCTGAACTAAGTGGCCTGAAACGCTAGGCCTACCCCATTATTTCAGTATTTGAGGAACAGATGAGAGAAGCTGCAAGGCCATGGTTTCATGTAGCTGTTTCTCAACAAAGGATTCCACACTGAAGTTGAATTCATGTTTTTAGTGACAAACAATACAGGACAGGTCATCTGAAAATTTGTGATACCCAGATGATAAGCTTGCTAAATTACAACTTGTTTTTCATGTTACTGGTAGAGTAAGGAAAGCAAAAAGGGGTCGCAGATTTCAGCTTCTTGGAATAAGCTGTTAAGAACGTGTTTTGTTTTTATCTTAAAACCTGTGATACTCATATGCAAGTCAAGTCCTGGATTTCTCCTTTCTGTTGTAAACTAATGATTAAAAAAGAAAGAGAAAACTATCTCCAGCAATTTGAGCTCAGCTTTTTGTGAAGACAAGCCTGCAAGGGTAAGATAAAGCCTGCAGTACTAAAAGCAGTAAATAACACTAGGAGACCACAGGCTCCTAGATGCCAAACTAATACATTTTCTGTGTGTATTCTAAACCCTGTGCATTAAATTGGTGTTTTTGAGGGCCCTAATTGAATCTAGAATCATTATTTGCTTTTCAAAGCAGTAAAAGCTGAGCATTTTAACTCTTCCATACCTTGGAAAATCCTAGCCCATAGCCATATGCCTGCTGTGCTTGAAACCATAGCTTCCTGACAAGCTCCCTGCTCCACAAGGATTGTTACCGCTTCATTTTCCCTAACCAGAGCAGACAGAGGATTTTGTCCTGCATGCTCTGATACTATTTTATTACTGTGGTTTCCAGCAGCTCTAGTGAGGTTTGTGGCCCTTGAGTTAACAATTAAAGGTTTAAAGGCATAGAGCAGCTGTTGTTTCCATCAGAGCTTGGGGTGCAAGGGGCTTAGCAGTAAATCCATCACCAGGCTGGGAAAGCAAATGGCATTAGTTTCATGTTAACTGTTTCTTAGGCAACGTATTAGCTACATGTGCCAGTTTTGTAGTCTGAGTGAGAGGTCTGCCTCTCTAAAATAAAAGGGCACTTACTTAAATCTTGCTTGTTTTCTAGATTATGTCTGCTGTGAATACAGAAGGCCTTGCAGATGGTGATTTGGGAGAGGTAAGCAAACTCGTGTACAGCTCTGTCTTCAGTTTTGTAATGCCAGTGCAAAGTAAGAATAATTTTTCTTTCCTCTTGCTAGCTGTACCAAAGTCACTCACAAATAAACCCAGGATGTAAGTTCCTACATTCAGTAGGATTAAGATACTTATTGAAAAAAAAAAAACCACTTTTTTTTCCATTCAAATGCCCCTCTCTTTCCCAGTGAAGGACTTGCAGTCCTACAGGTTTGGTTCAGGGTCTTACTGATGTCCCTCCACCTTTCCTTTTTGCTGCCTGTCTTGCCCACTGTGACAGTTTGTTCTGCCTGTGAGGTGGAGCATAGCCTTGCTGCCTGGCAGCTGGTTTCAAGAGCAGCACCTTCCCCAGGCTTTAGAAAAGCAGGACTCAGAGTGTGGTCCCATAACACTTCTGTGCAAGAGTGATAAATATAATTCAGGTGTTGCCTGTTGTAATTGCAATGGCCTGAGTCTGCGACGGGGGGACTGCATTGCTTTTGTGCTGTAGACATTTCAGTTGTCATCTGTACTTGACTAATGGGGAAGAAAAGTTTTGCTGCATGTTTTCAGGTAGCTAAAATGAAAACAGCACAAGGTACTATGTAATGACAGAGCAAAAGGAAATGGAGGGCCTCTGTCATGTTTGTTGTACTTGAGCATATATTGGCAATGTGTTTCTGTGATTTGCAGTCTGTTTCTGGCTATTGTTGGTGGGAAGGTGGCTACGCTCTGCAGTGCAAAGTATTTCTTCCTCTTTTGCTGGCATTTTTTTTATGGCATCTTCTCTCTGCTGAAGGCTTCCACAGAATCTGATGAATCTGAGCCAAACAAGGGGGATGAAGGCCAAGCTACAGAGGACCAGTTCTTGGGAGAGGTATCTGTTGCTCTCTAGACTAACCCTGTTGACTTACTGTGTATTTACTTTTTAACTATTAAGAGCATTTTGTTTTGTTGGCTTTTCCTAGTCCTGAGATTATATGGAAATACAAGAAGTTACTTAGAATGAGTAAAATGTGGGCTCTTGTTAAGTTGCTTGAGATTTTTTTTCATTGGCCTCAGACATCATGTGAATAGATTTTGGTGGCAATGAAGAGCAAGTTTGTTTTGTAATAGTCCAGTTGGCAACAGACTCAAGGACTTTATTCTGCCATAATTTTCACTCTGACATTTCCTGGACACGTACTAAATGATCTGCTGCCACAATTCTAATGCATTCTTTCCCCTCGTTGCCCCTCTCTCCCTTCCTCATTCCTTTGTTCCCTCCCTCTGATTATTACCAAGCTGTCAGCTTATTACTGACCTGTTTCTAGGTATAACCCTTTGCAGAGATGCAGCTGTGGTACTGGAGGACAGGGGGAATTTTTGTTCTTTGTGCTGCTCCCACCAACACCACAGTGCCATCCATCCTCTTTGCACCTGAACAGCAAGTATCAGGCTTTGGTAGCTAGCTGCCTTACAAAAGTCTTGTTGCACCAGTTTAGCCAGGTTTATCACAGGCAATTTGTGCTCTACCACATCTGCCTTTTATCCTTTTGTTCATTTTTGGCCATTCGAGCAGCATTGCTTTCAGCCCTGTGTTTTAAATATGGGGACATGTCTATAATTAGAACTATGGACCCAGCCTCTGCCCTGTGAGGTTAATAGCACTGAAAATACTAATATTGCTGTGTGAACAGGCCAGCTTCATTCTCCCCCATTCCCTCAGTCTCCCTTTTGGGTTAGAATTTGAGCTGTTAGCCCCAAACTACCTGTGCTCCGTGTGCTTGGTGTCTGCAGTTGTCTGTGAAGATGAGGATGGTGGTTTATGGCTCATGCATGTTGGAGCAGTGCACTTGTTGAGTCCATGTAACAGCCTATTAAGGACACCAAAACAGAGCGCTCTCCTTAGGTTAGGTGCTTCATGGCTTGTTAATTCATTAGGCACTGTAGTGGCAGACACACATATCTGAGTAAGGGTTTTGCTGTATGCAATCATGAAGATATTGGATGTCTCATAACAAATGTCTCTTTTAGAAGAGAACTCGCAGCCAAACATGACCTTAGCCTACTAGCATGGGTGGTAAATATTTGTGAGATTGGCCTCAAGCCACTGATGATGGATCGGGGAGTGCTGTCACATACATAAAGTAATTGGATAGGCACATTATTCCTGTGATCATCACAACGTGTTCTCAACTGATACAAAACATGCATCACACATTATCTGGCAGCAAAATAATTTTCCAGATGCTGCCTCCTTTCATGAGCCAAACGTAAAGCTTGTTTCAGACTTACCTCCCCATCCCAAATGCCTGTTCTTGGTTGACTGTGTATTTGTTCTTAATCCTCTGAAGTACAGTTTCACTGACCAGCATATAAGCAGGGTGTTTTCAGCAGGCTTTTGAACTCCCACCGCATGTACTCGCACACTGGCTTACAACAGAGGAGGCAGTTTGTGGGACAATTTCTGCACTCTTCTTAGGCTAAGCTGTGAAAATTGATGGTGGAGAGAGTCTATTATTTCAATAATAAAAAAAGTAATACCACTCTTGGTATTATTTTTTTATTATTGAAAGTTTTGTTTGAAACTCCCAAGTACTTGTAGGAAATGCTTTGTCTTAATTCCTGGGGAGTTCTATAAAAAAGCAGCTTCTGTCTGCTGAGCGCAAAGCACTTAAGTCTGAGTGGGCCATGCTGGACTTCTGTTTTGAGAATTAAGCATGTGTTCATATGTTTTGCTTAATTAAGCTAGGATATATGCCTAGTACAGAGTGTTTCAGGAATGAGCTGAAAGTCTAAGTAGATCAAAGAAACCGAGGTGGCATTATGGTAGACTGTTCTTGGTAGGGGTTGAAGTTGAAAGATAAGGGAAAGGGAGAAGGCTTCTGATTTTGTGGTTGTGGCTGTTTTGCTTTGAGAGTGTTGTGTGTGTATGGGCATGGATGCATGTATGCATGTATGCAAGTCAGTACCCAGGATCCAGGTGTCTGGTTGCTTATTTGTGATCTCTAGGTATGTACACTTGTGCTAGCATAAGGCTTCCTTGGTGGAAGCTTCCAGAACTCTTTCCTCTTGGCATCTACTCTGATCTCTCAGAACAATGATTTTATAATGGTGTGTTTACGTGCACTGGAGATGTTTTGATAAGCCCAGGCCTTTCTCAGTGTGCTTAGGAGGTGACGTTGTACAGGCACTAGGGGAAGTTGATTATCCAGTGCTGAAAGCGTTCTAACAAATGACAGGGATACTCTTCCCTTCTGAGTTAATGATCTATTAGGTGACTGGTAGTCTGAAGGTTTGTCTTTAACTTGTAATGCTAGAGCCATATTTTTTGAAATGTGTGTGTATATTCCAAGTGCATACATGATCTCAAAAATTACACTTTTCCTTTCTCTTAGAAGGTGAAGGACCATAAACAAGAAACTGAAGATTTGGGATCTGCAAAGAAGACATTTAACATCTCTGTTAGTGGAGGTAAAAAAAACCTTGATAATGATTTCATTTTATGTGCTGATATTTATAAATACTGATGTTGATACTGGTGTTCCAGTGAGAAGGCAATTTCTGCACAGATTGTGAAGGGTTATTGTGACTTGCCTCTAACTCCATTCATTTCACAGCAGTCTCGAGGCAGTTGACAATACAGCTGCTTTAGGGAAGGAAAGGAAGTATACAGCACTCATATACCCCATCGCTGAAATGCAGCTACTCCGAGTGATTTCTGATATAGAAGAACACACACCTGATCAGGCATGAAGTGCTAATGTTGCTGTTTGTACAGAAACTCCCAGGGGATCTTGAATAACACCGAAGCCATTGACCCCTGTCTAGGTTTGACTTTGTTTCTGGCACTGAATGCAGAGTAGTTGTTTTAGAGGTCACTTGGATCTCTAGCTTCTTGCTAGCATTTACTAGCATCTTGCTCTGCAAGCAAGGTGAGTGATGCTTGACAGTGCCACACCTGATGGCGCTGTGACCATAGTGTGTTTGAGACTGAAGATGGACTTGAGCATCCCTATAAGTACCTGCCTGCAAGCTCGTTTGCAGAGAACTTTGTGCAGTGTTGTACAGTTGGACACAATCACCTGCTGTTGCATATTTAAGTGACTTTTGTGCCATCGTTTGAAAATGCACTCCTCTCTTGTTGCAGATGTGGACGGTTTGATTACCCAGGCTTTGCTGACGGGTAACTTTGAGAGCGCAGTAGATCTCTGCTTGCACGATAACCGTATGGCCGACGCCATTATCTTGGCCATCGCAGGCGGACAAGAGCTGCTTTCTAAGACACAGAAAAAGTACTTTGCCAAGATGCAGAGCAAAATTACCAGGGTATGTTTTTCAGTTAAGAAACAACATGCATGTAGGTCTTTGGCAACTTGTTTTTTCACCTTACAAGTTTTATTGCCATTTCATAGGTTTATTTCTGTGAGAAGCTATTAAGTATTCAAGTCATCCACAAGATCTCAGAGCAGAAGGATTTCTGCTATTCTTTTTTAATGTATTGATAAGAATAGGCACACTACCTGGATATCAATAAGAGGATTCTTTATATTGTCTCCAGTGTCGTGAGTTGCATATACACTGATAAAGATAAATTATCTTAAGCAGCGCATATTTCAGTCTGTTATCTTGTCATATTTTTAGTTGCACGTGACCCATGTTCAGTGTCAGCAGCATTGTGTTGATTTCTGTCTGTGATGAGTCTTAACAGATTTTGCTGGTGCTTTGTTTCACTGCATGCACAGAAGAGAGCTAAGTATGTCCAGCGTATATCAGTCACCCTTTATCAAGGAGACAATGTGTTATGGCTAGTTGGGGGGTTTTTTTGAGGTTTTAGCAATGCTAGAGATTGCTGTTGCTGCTCATTCAAATCTATCCTCTTTCTGCTGACATGAGAAAGTAGCAACAGGAGGACAAAACAGAAGTGGCCTTATTAGAGCACAGGATAATTGGTTTGGCAAGGATGGCCACTTTTAGATGAGGGGAGTTGCTCATGGTCACTTTTTAACAGTCCATTGTTGAAGAAGGGTGTTTTATACACTTGTAGAAGGCAGCCTATAAAAGGGCATGTGCTTAAGTGCTTCCCTGGAGCGGGGCCGAGGGCTGCAAAGCACAGTCACTTGGGGAGTTAGGGCATGCAGCACCACAAGCTAGGGTCTGTAAGTGGAATTTTGTTGGTCATTGCCTGCAGTCCAGTTTGAGATAGGAACAGCTTGCATTTCTGTTAGTGGACAAGTGAAAATAGGAAAATCTCAAGTATTAAGACTCTACAGGATTTCTTCCCCCACGCCCTGCTCCTTTCCTGCCTCTGGCCTAATCAGAGGAAGGAGAATTTTATAGTGTGTGGGAAATATCTTCACTGTAGTTCATCCTTTGGGAAAAGGTATTTTTATGGAGAGCTGACCAGTTGCCTGTGCTAACAAGTGAGTGTTGACCTTGTAGTTAGGACCTTGCATTTGTTGTTCAGGTGTGTTTTTTCTTTTCTGGTCCCAAACTGTACACTTGCTGCTTGTTCAGCTGTTTCTGAGCTTGAAGTCTTGGCATGACAAGGGCTTTTATCACTAAATAGCAGCACAGCTGCCAAGTCTGTCTCTTGTCTGAAGCAAAATAACTGGAGGCAGTTTGAGATGGAAGAAACTGGAATTTCATTCTGAGGGCTTGTGGACAGGCAGCCTATGTGGGCGAGTGCAGGGTAGGGATACTGCAGCCAGCTCAGGTTGATATTGATGCCAACTTGCTTCTTTGAGCAGCCTTTTCAACTGCCCCTCACTGGTCAGCCTGAGGCCAAGAGGTTAAAGCTGAATAAGACAGTTTGACAAACAAAATTCATACTCCTTGCTGGGCATTGTGTAGAAGATTTATAGCTAAATACTTGGTATGTTATCTTCGTCTGCAAAAAAAACAGTGCTGAAAACCTTCTGCAGCAATCCCAGCTTGTAGAGATTTCTACATTCTTGCATGTTTTGTAGCAAGAATAATTGGCCTGTGTTATCTGAGCTTGTCTTGTGATTTTTCACTTAACCTCCTTTTGAAGTAAAATGTACTCTTGTGCAGCTGTTGAATTGCAGTGACCCTGGATACAGTGGGGATGAGTACACTTGAATAGATACAAATTACACTGTATCCTGAAAAAACAAAGGAAATCCTACCAAGATCTTAACTGTGGTCTCTGTCCTTCTGGTCTAGCTCATCACTGCAGTGGTAACAAAGAACTGGAAAGAGATTGTGCAGTCTTGTGATCTTCAGAATTGGAGAGAGGCTCTGGCTGCTGTGCTCACTTACGCCAGGCCAGATGAGTTTGCAGCCCTTTGCGGTAAGGACACTTTATAGACTGGATGTCATTTATTCCACTTATAGCAAAACTAAACTTTGCCATGGTGGTTTTCCTTCCAGAAAGTTATTGTAATGCCTTGCTGGTTTCTTTGATGGATAGTAGTTCTTTGGTCCTGTTGCAGAGGAGGAGAGGAACTTCTGGAGTGCTGTGTTCCCAGTATGTTCCCTGATTTTTCTGGGCACAGAACCCAGATCCTTGTGAGCAGCTGCATCCTGGCATTGCCTGTGTAGTGCACAGCTGCTGGTCTCTTACCATTTCCTGATGGGTAATGGTGATGTTGATGTGACACGTCAATCAAGAGACCAGGTTCTTGGAGTGTTTGTGCATGGGACACAAGTGGAAATGTTTCAGGGACGCACTTTACTCTTCTTCCCTGAGAGCAATTTTGACTTCTTGGAAGGAGTCCTGTTTCACAGGCAGTGAGCATGCCTGCCCTCACGTGTGCTGCATGGCAGACAACTGGCTGGGTTTAACACATGGGGAAGTTATACTGCAATAAATGTGTGCCTGATACCCTGTCCCCCTCAGACATCAGCTGTGGTGTGTAGGGAGCTGTATGGCTCACTTCAACACACATGAGCCCAGAGCAATATCACTGCTTTTGTTCACAGTTCCTTGGCCAGCTGCACACTCAGGTCATGCTCATGAAATGAGGGACTGCAAAAAGTGGGTGGCAGAGAGGAGACTCAAACCCTGGCCTCTTGTCCTTTGTCATGTTGGCAGGTGGACTGCCCCCTCGGATGTGTCTCAGGTTTGCAGGCATTTGACAAGTCCTTGTTGCTATGACATTAACTGCCTCTGAAGTGCCCTGGGCTCCCATGAGAATTATCTGTGCTGGACACAGGAGTATGTCCTTACGAATGGAGCCCAGAGGCAATATTCCTTCTCACTGTGCTGAGACAGACACAACAGGCGTTGCAGTCTTCCCCAGCCTTGGCAGTGATGGAGGGATCACCAAAGTGATTCACCAGTATCTTCTTTGCTCATATTTTCCTTAGATCTCCTGGGTAACAGGCTGGAGAGTGAGGGGGACAGCCTTCTGCAGACACAAGCTTGTCTTTGTTACATTTGTGCCGGCAACGTGGAAAAACTTGTTGCTTGTTGGACCAAAGCTCAGGATGGAAACAGTCCCTTATCCCTTCAGGTTAGTAATTCTGTTAAGAAAGATATTGGAAGTAACACACTGCAATCATTTGTCACAAATCAAATGATCTAGTGTAGAGCTTTGGTGCTGCCTGATAGCTGCATGTATCTTGGGATGCAAGCCTTTTCCTTCTGTCATGGGTGGCTTTTGTAGAAATAACGCATATGATATTAGAAAGCGTGTTGTGAAGCATGATGGCCTTCATGTCTGCTCTGTTCTTTGGATAGTCATGATAATATGCTTCTTCTGTAAAAAGGTAGTTGTAGGGCTTAGAGTGTTTTGGTAAAGAAGGGGCTTTAAATACTTGCATCGTTTGCAATATGGGAATATTTGGACATTTTTGCTTTTGGAAGAGATGGTTGGATGTTCAGGGAAGAATTCTAATAATTTAGTGTTAAATTTGGAAAGAAATCTATAGGAAAGTTCTCATGAGAAGAGTTTTCTCTAGGGGGTTGCACATACAGGGGTTGGTTTCCAGCGATGAAACATACTGCATGTAGCAAATATCTTGGAGGAAGAGAATTGATGACAATGAGATAAAGCAATTATGGAATAATTCATTTTATAGTGTAATCCTAGTTTCTTACATCCATTCAGAGCCTTTGAAGGACGAGTTTTAGAAAGTACTTAAAGTAATGTTATCTGGCAATGCTGTGAGTCTTTGTTTAGTTAATAGAAGGAGTTTTGCTTTGCATTATTAACTCCAGCTTTGAATTATCAAAATTACTTTCCAGTCTCTTGATTGTGAGGGCTTCATTTAGAGATTTACCCTCAGTTTGAATTTGCATTTTGATTGCACTTCTTTGCTCTTTTGGACACTAAAATTGAAAAATATTGTCAGAGTCATAATTAGGCTGCTTTTTTACTATAATGTGGAATTGCTGAAACTCGTAATTGTTAGTTATCTTGATTTTTTTTTTTATTTTTTTTACGTGCCTTTTTTGAAGTTCTTATATGGGGAAAAAACAAAAATATATTATTGAATAGTCAGTCCTTGTTAGTGATATATGGTTGAAGTCCTGTGTGGTACACTCTCATTAAATCTGTTATAAGATTTCAAAGTGGGATTGCATGTTAATATTGGCAAACTAATATTTGTAGTATCTTCCAATATAATATAGTGAGAGTAAGAAAACCATGAGAAAACTGTCCAGAAAATGTTCCTGTAACTTAGGACTAGAAGGAAACCCAACTGAGGCCAGCTCTGGTATTTGGGGATGTGCAAGGAAGGCAAGATATGGAGTATTCCTGGTGAATACTGGGAAAACCATCTTAGCAGTAACAAGCAGAAAACCATGGACAGCTCTCCCAAGGGAGCTGTTAGATCATTTTGCTTCAGATGGTTAAGAACCGAATTACTAAAATGCTGCAAACAAATGTGCAGCACCTCGGCACTAACACTGGTGATGGACATGATGTTTCCTATTTGCTCTCATGGCTCTCACCAGATACTTTTATGAAAGCATACTCTTTTGGTGGACGTTCTCAGTGCTGATAGAGCTCTGAAATCCTGTTTATCAAAAGCAGTTCTTTTGGCTTTGAACTCTACCTGATATGCTGCTGGCTTTGGTGTTAGAAGTCACTTGGTGCGAGGTTGCTAGCTGCCATGTTATCTCACATGCTAGGAAGGTCATGCCTTTGGTGCAGCTGTAACTGTCTGGGAAGCCTGCACTTGGCTTGGGCTTCCTGTTGGGTGATAGGGGTTCTATAGGGCTGCCCTGAGGAACAGCCCTCTATCACAGTCATAAGCCAGGGCCTACTTCTCCTGTTGTTCTCATTTGTGAGGTTTTTTTTCCTGATCTTCCAGGATTTAATAGAGAAAGTTGTAATCCTGCGCAAAGCTGTGCAGCTCACCCAGGCTGTGGACCCTAATGCTGTGGGGGCCCTTTTGGCTGAGAAGATGAGCCAGTATGCCAACCTCCTGGCTGCCCAGGGTAGCATTGCTGCAGCTTTGACCTTCCTCCCTGCGAACACCAACCAGGTATGGGGCCTTCTGGTTTTTTACTTCCTCTCCCTGTGTTGAACAGGTGTACTTCAAGCAAAGGTATCTGCAGTTAGCCAGCAGGACTGCCATTTGAAATGTACCTTGAGCTGTGACAGTCAGGCTGGTTTCCCCTCTCCCTGTGTTGGCCTTGCTGAGCTGGCAGAAATACATGGCCTTGTTCTTCTCTCTGTTTCACACCCTCGTCCTTGCAGCCAGTGCCTGCCAAAGGGACAACTGTCCCTCCTGCAAGCCAGACACCATGAAACATGTACCTTGACACTTGGTTGTTTTCTTTTGATTTCTCATCTTCTGTCAGCTGGTATTTGTAGACAGGCTGGCTTGGGAATGATGCAGGCCAAGATGGGAGGCAGGCACATGTAAGGCAATTCCAGTGGCCCTATGTCTCATGCAGAAAAGACTTACTCCAATTAAATAAAGCAGAGCAGGCTTCTGAAAGTGGTGGCCAGTCAGCCTCTTAGTGTGATGCACTGGGTGACAAGCAGTGCAGTTAACCTTCCTTCACTGTCCTTTTCTGATTGCAGCCAAACATCATGCTGTTACGGGACAGGCTTTGCAGAGCCCAAGGGGAGCTTCCAGTGGGACAGGAGGCCCTCAAGGCACCATACGAGAGACAGCCCATGCCTAAAGGACGAGCTGGCCCTGTGGCTGGACAGATGCAAGGGCCCCAGGCTCCAGCCCAGCAATATTACCAACAGGTAAATGATTTTTGGTAGTCAAGGAGCAATGTGGTGAGTTCTGGAGAGCGATGGGTAGAGGAATTTTTTCCTTTCTCTCAGTAGAAGTACATCTTGCAGCCCCAGCTCAGATCAAGAGCCTTGTGGTGAAAGTTATTGGTGCTTCTTTTGAATCGGTACAGATGCCTCCTTTACTCCTCATCTGAAAACATGCATTAAACACTTTGTCAAGTAGCCTGCTTCTGAAGACAAGGTGTTTTCCCCCTTTGAAAAAGTGCTCCAGTGCCAAGAGTGACTGCGTGGGAGAGCACTGCAGGATTTTTCTGTGCTTGCTCTTCATATAGTCCCTGATGTTGTCCCATCCCTGCAGGCCTTGGGGCTTGCTCATGTTGCTCACCATTCTCTTCTGGGGCTGATTTACTTCCCTGACTAGCTCTGATGTTGGCTGCAGAAGTTTCTGAGCAGTGGTAATAGCAAACTGAGGGCATGTTTCAGCAGTTGTGGGTACAGCCTACTATGAAAACACCTTCCCATCTAGGTGTAAGGGGGCATAGACAGCACAGGCAGGGTGAGAGTGAGCTGTGCCAGAAGAAAGACCTGGTGAGTATGGGACTAATTAAGGGAGCTAGGGGCTGTGCAGGGAGGAAGAGGTGAAATGGGGGAGGTAAATGCCCTGGTTTTATCTCTAGACTGAGGACAACACTGCATCAGACCACATTGGCCATCACCGGTGTGGTTCAGTGGGCAGCCTTGGCTGTGTGCCTGCTTAAAGAGCATCACTGAGTCCCTAATCCCTCAGCACAGTGCTGAAGCCCATCTGGCCCTGCTCTACACAGGGGCTCTGGGCTGGGCTTTTCTGAGAGCAGAGCTGTGTTTGTGCTGCAGGTGTTCTCCTTACACAGAAGAGACTGGCACAAGCAGAGGCATGTCGCTGTTAGTGCTGCCCTTTAAGCACTGCCTGCCAGAAAAATGGCAGGAAGAAGGGCTGAAAAGTGGGGGAGGAGTTAGGCTTTGTTCTCTCCCTCTTGGAGTCAACAACTGTGTGCCTTCTCCCCAGAGTATTAACAAGGTAGATTTCGGAAGGGACAAAGCATTCATCCTGTTCATACAAGATTACCTTGCTAATGCCATTGCATATGATTTTTAAATGCATCATTGTCCATAATTAACTCTACTATTTTTTTCCTGTGTCTTTGACATTCCTCCTTGTAACCAATGAATTGCCTTGAGAAGCAATGATGCATATTTCCTGTTAAGCCATGAAAAATAACAGATGTCCTCTAGATGGTGTGATCTTAGCAATGCTTTTTAAACCAGAGTTCCCTCTTTCTCCTACTGTTTCAGGAATGTCTCATGCTATTATGTAAGCAAGCCCTGCTCATTAATAAAAGGCTGGGTGTATCACAACCCCACAAGCACACTGCGAGTTAGTTGCCCCCTGTGTTCCTGGCTTTCCAGGGAGCTCATGCTCAGCA